GGCGGCTCGCTATGTTTTGAAGTAAATATATATATATATATATATATATATATATATATATATATAAAACATAGACAATAATAATGAATAATAAAGAATAATGTACGGAATTAAAACAAATAACCTCTTTAAATGTTTTCATGATAAAGCATAGGCCTATATAAAATTTAATTGAATTAAACTGAATCTAGTGTTAATGAAAACTGCCTTAAATCACATGCTTTATTGGTACAGTCGTTTTATTTAATGGAGAAAAACATCACGCAAATGTAAAATGACGTACAATGTCGTCGTTATTGTTATTATATTACTGTATATTGTTATTAAGGCGGACGGAACAAGTCTTCTCACTGAAATGTATTGATCAACAACAAAACAGTGAGCTTTGGTGATTACTAAGCAAATATTAATATATTAGAAATGACATCAAAAAGTGGAAGAATTTGGTCAAAAACATACATTTACACTCAAAGTGACCATTAAACGCAAATTTCAGAGGTCATTTGAATTTTTATCAGGGAATTGAACGCACAGGTACGTTACGTGTGGTAGGCAGAATATAACGTTATAATCAATCATCGGATGGATTCGTACCTTGTTGCTTTCTTACCGCCGTATTTTCAGCTTTCATTACGCAGCCAATGCGTGGTGTTTGTGTGGTTCGCAAACTTATGACCAGAGGCGGACAAAGTACTCAACTCCATTACTTGAGTGGAAGTACAGATACTGCTGGTCAAATATTACTCCATTACAAGTAAAAGTTGTAAAGACAGATATTTACTTTAGTAAAAGTACAGAAGTACTTGCTTTTTATTGTTGTACGTAGTACTTGCAATACTTCTGAAGCAATTTAGAATACATTACACCTACTGAATACAGTACAGTGAAATCCTGTAAATACAGAGTGCCATTACTTGAGTGAAAGTACAGATACTGCTGGTCAAATATTACTCCATTACAAGTAAAAGTTGTAAAGACAGATATTTACTTTAGTAAAAGTACAGAAGTACTTGCTTTTTATTGTTGTACGTAGTACTTGCAATACTTCTGAAGCAATTTAGAATACATTACACCTACTGAATACAGTACAGTGAAATCCTGTAAATACAGAGTGATAAGGAAGAAAAAAAACATCAAACCTGCTTTAAACCCCAGCAACACAACTGTAGCTGTATAACTTTACAACAGCAACACTGCTTTAACAAAAATGCAAAACAGCAAGACTTATTTGACATCAAAATAAACATTTTAAAAATGCTGTCTAATCGCTCTCGCTGTACTTTGATGTCACACACAGAACGGACTGTGCAGTTCTGCTTCAAGTCCAACACCTATTGTGTTTTATTAGGAGATGCACAACAGTTCTTCTGT